ATAATCATTTGTAAATTTAGATCATTAATTTTATTTTTTTCTTAGAAACTAAATTCAAAATTTAAAAAGATTCTAAATCCTATTTTTTTAGATTATGAGTGGAACTATTTTTTAAATTTATAATATAGCTTATAATGATTTGCTTAATATTTCAATTTATATCCTCAGAAAAATAGTAACAAAAATTCAATATTAATTTTCGGTTTTCGGTAAGCTTGACTAAAGATCGTCGAAACTAGGATTTTATGTTCACAATTTAAACATTAATATACCAGTTTCAATATTGCTTGAAGTGAGGTATACGGGTAAGAGCAGTAGTTGTTATACTTATTATAGGATTATATAATTATAACATAATTTAGCTTAACCAATTATTTTGAATTCCTTTGAGAGTTTTTCTAAAAGGCAATTAATTGATTTGAATTATATTTAAGTAGACTTATTCGTAGCTTATTTTCAACAATCTATTGGTGTAATTTCTTAAAATAACTTACTAGTTTGTACGTGGCATTAAGTTTGAAATGTCGAGCTCTTAAAAACCGCAGTAGAAACTTTTCATCCATTCTGTGGGGTGTAACATCCCCTTTCTCTGAATAAAGAAAAAAAATATTAAGATTTACATAAAAAATGTTCTAAGGTAAGCATAAATTATCGAATGTTATATAATTTATTAGGATTAAGTATGGACATTGAACATAACAATAAGTTTATTTTTTTTTCGTGATGAAAATGAAACCAAATATAAATCACTTTCTTCAGACAAATGTACATATTTTATAAATTTTAATTTTCTCCACACTCTAAATAAATCATTATTAAATTGGTCATACCTACAAAGATTACTGATTAATAACCTTTTTAGATTCTTATAACCAGTCAAAATGATGTATTCAACAAAGTTAATTTTAGATTAATTGTGTAGGTACTGTGCATATTATGTATATTATATAAGTAGATGGTGTGTATTGTACTATTGTAWAACCAAATTATATTTTATATTTATCATTAGACTTATTTCACATGATCAACTGGCTATCTACTCATGTGGATTAATAATAATTTATAAACTATAAAATTGGTTTATGTTTGTAAATGTATTATTTCTTTTGATATATAATTGTCTTTATAATAAGATGCTATAAAGTAAATACAAATAGTCTGAAATATGTATCTATAGTAAAAAAATGTATCTGATAACAGATATTCTAAATAGGTATTTATTCGATTTCAATATTTACATATTGTTAAAGACTTAAATCATTTAAATCAAAATTTAACAATACATCCGAGAGATACAAAATTAAGAAAACACATTTAACGTAGGAAAAAACTAGAAATTCCGAAAATTAAAATTTATATTCAAATAAACAAGCACATTAATGGATGTATATAAATGTGAAATGTAATCAAATATTTCTTCGATGTAATGAGTTTAAAATTATGACTGAAATAATAATAAATATTGATAGTTTTATAGTAAATTTGTTGTAATTTAAAACGGAAGTAATAACGTTAGTATAGAGGACACTTATGAATATAAATATATATTTATTTATAGACTGTATATTATGTATACACCAAGTCATAATATGTATAAATATATATATGTTTACCTAACTGTGATATCTGTGCAGCCCCGAAAGGCTCAGAATATGTATTACTCATAATATAATATATATATTTATATATTAAAATTTATTAAATAGGAAATGGGCTTAAGGCTAATTCTGGTAAACCTTGTGGAAGCTCAAGTGTTCATAAGGATGAAAGCAAATTCGTAGGATAAGATATTAATTTTAAAGATTAAGGTCATTTGAAGTATGTAAAATATAAAAACCAGTTGATAGAATAATATTATATGCATTACCTGGTGAAATTATCATTTATTTCATTACAAACTAGCATAGTCATTGAAATTTCTATAAAATGACACTAGTKAATGAAATTAACCTACGTAATATTATGGATATCAATGACCTAGACTCAAAWATATTACAAATTAATAATTTACTTAATATAACTTAAATATGTCCTGTATTACGTGTTAAATAAATGCTTTTTTTTTAATTTATCAATAGACTCGTAATATAATATACAAATAAATGCAATAAATGTATTTATAAATATACGAGAAAAGCTCCAATGGCCAATTTTAATGTGCAGAATGAATATAAAACTAATAAAAATACGTAGTTTTTGAAAATTTTTTTTGAATTTCACTTTTCTTACCTCTACACTCTATAACATTGAGAAACATACAACATCTACAGAAAAAGTGTATAGTAGGATTTTTTGTAACACGTTTTGAGCGAGATTTTTAATTTCAACAACAGATCATATCGATAAGTTCTTTCTGTCTAAGAAATAAAGTATTATTTATTTAATAACAAATTTTAAGTTCAATAAATAAATAACTTTGCGCGCTTCTATTGGTTTCTTTGATACCTATATTGTTTTCTAGTTTTTACTTAAGAGGATGTCACACGGGCATTTGTTGTCTCTATCTCTGTCTTACAATAATTGTACAAGGTGGTAAATTTTATGTTCACAATTAAACATTTTACTCTGTAATTTCTAAAATTAGAATGCATTATTTCTAATAACACTTGAAAGTAAGAATATTATCGATTCTATAGGGCATCTCAGAGTATTTTATTTATGTTATTGTTTTTGAGTAAGTTATGATAATTTTAAAATGTACAAAAAAAAAAAACAGTTTAAAAATGGTCAAAATTTACTTAAAAATGATAATATCAACAAAATCCTCCGAGATGCCCTAGATAATATTTTTGACTTTAAATTTTATATGAGTTAAATTAATTCTAATTTTATAAATTACTTAGTAAAATGTTTTATTGTGAATGGATAATTTGCCATGTTATTATACGTTTGTAAGACGGAGACAATTTCAAATGCACGTGCMGKKGAATCTTCACATAAATGACGTAAATATTATTAGCCTTTAATTATTCTCGAACCACCGTTTCCTGATGAAACGACGATCGGACGATAGAAATAGATGTCCAGCGCCTGCTCACCGTATATCATGTCTTCGAGTTCGGCCAACAGTCTGGTCCTGGACTCCTCGGTCTCACCCACCCGGGCTCGACCGTACTCGACCACGTCGTCCGGCAACTCTTCCACGTCCACGTCCAAGTCGGCCAGTACGTCGGGGAAGTCGACGTCCGTGCCGACGGGTTTGTGGCCGTCGACGGCAACGGCCGTCGGGGCGATCCGTTCGCTGTTGGACAATAAGAGCTGCGGCATTTTCGGAGGCGTCTTCGTCCGTCCGTCCGTCCGAGCGTCCGTGTCACGATTGACTGATTACTGTTACGGCAGGCACATGAAATATCGCGTAGCCGCAATCGCGCGCTGCCGTTCGCCGAAACAACGGTTTTGTGCGCGAGAAAATTATATTATTATTGGGCGCAATACCTGTTCAGGTACAACGCACGAGAGCTAACGCGTTATACTATTATACGTGTACAATTATTATAGTATACCTACAATAGGTTATTTATATACTATGAGAACACTGTCAATGTCGTCCGTTCAAGGCCACCCGAGTGAAATCTAACGCAGTGAGAAATTATTATGATGTAGGTCCGCGCCTTGCGCAGGATCGCCTTGATCGGACAAAAAACAATAATAAAGAGAGAAACAAAAGAAAAACGAACGTCTGCCGTAGGTTACTTACTCGACAATTAGTAGGCACCAATAATATGAAATAATTAATATGTATAGGACCTAATATGATTATGATTTTTCACGTCGCGTAACAGTGATACACGGTGGCATAAGACGTGAGCTTCTTGATGATATATTGATATTGATTTATTTTATAAAAATATAAAAATAATATCGCTCTATTACTACAATAATTATTAATTATTATTATACAAGAACGTGAAGCGACGGCGGTCTGACGATGAATGCCAACGGCGCGCGACAGTGACGGAGACGACGRCGGCGGCGACTACGACACGATCGCTAACGTGCCTCAGAGTGCCTGACAACATGTGTCGTTTTCGCGGACGGGCGGAGGCTGTTATTGCTTTCCCGCCACGGTGTTGCATCACGTCGTCGGCGGCGTTGGCGGCGTTGGTGTTGCATAACTGGTGTAACGACTGTAACGGACAGCGCAATACATTTTATACACAATAATAATATATTATTATTATTACATATAATAATAATAATAATAATGTAGATAATGATATAAATGATTTCASTCTCTCGCCGACGAAATCGTAACACGCGCCTTAGCCGTGACGGCGCCGCGTTGGCAATATGATGCATAGTTTTTCCATTTTCCGGCCGTAACACGTAAGAAACGTTTGTTTTAGATTTTTTGATTTGTTTCTATAGCTAGGTATACCTATTATTCAATTTTTTTATAAATTTAAAAAATAATTTAAAATTGATAATACGAGAAAAATGAACTGAAAAATAATTATACTCGTATAGGTATTTTATGATATAATATTCTTATTATGGTTATATATTACAAAAAAGCTCCAGAACACAAAAGCTATATTACTATCGACATTTGAAGAAGATTTATCATTGAATTATTATTTTTATTATTTTATATATTTATCATCGTATAAATTTGGAAATAAATATTATATAGATACCCTAAGTATAATGATGAAATTAGCATAGATATGATGTTACATATAGTAAGTTTATAAACCTTTCTTAAAAAACAAAAACTTAAAACTATGAATATCTAATATTGTTAGTTAACTAATATGATACCAACTGGCAACCGTATAGATTATAATTTTTATATGGCCTTACTAGGTACCTTGATGCCACTCTAGAATGTTACCCTCGGGCTGCAGGGCCATCCCGAACAACAATTCATGGGGGGTGGTAGATCTATTAATTTGCCGACTAAACAATTTTTTACTCGCTTCGCTCGTATAAGTTTTCTACTATATTATATTTATATCATCATATAAATATTATCATATTATTATCATTATAATCACGGACGAATAGTCAAATAGACGACAACTACTGATAAAGTGATAACTATCGAATGCAAAAGAGCAACAAATTTCAAGAATAATAAAATAATATTTTATAACACCAAGAATAAGTCAATACATATCGGCTACGGCCTACGGGTAACAGCTTATTATACTTACGTGTTATACAGTCGCGCAATACACTGATAGTAAATAAACACATCTATTTTTAGCATTCGGTGTTATCGAAATGTCGACGTCATCGTCGTCTTATCTTAGTTTTACCTTTTATAGAAATATAATATTATATACAAATATATTTTTAAAATAATTAAAATACTGACGATGCCAAATTGCCGACGACTTTTACCAAGTGACAAATTTGCCGACTAAATATTAAAAAAATCATGAGTGGGGGGGGGGGGGGTTAGAACCCCCAAGCCCCCTGAAAGGACGGCCCTGTGGTCTCGGACAACTTTACTAATGAGTATTGAGTAACACACAATGATTGAGAATCCAAAATAGGAGACCAAAACTTATTATTTACTGGTGTAGAAATGTATTATTTTTACCAACTCATTTAATTACATATTAAAAACACGCGTTTAAATAACTACAAATATTTATCCAAAAACTGGTAAAAAATTGTATTTGTACCTAACATTTTTTTAAGGTACCCATAATAAGTTGTAAGTTATAATCTATAAAAAGTCAATACAATTATATATTTACATAGATGTGTTTTAAAATACTTACACGTATTTAACGTCAACTCTATAGTTATATGGGGTAAAATAAATATACTAATATAACAGCTATTACATTCTGGTCCAGTTTAGTTAGAGTCAAATTACACAAACATTATAAAAGAATGAAAACAAAGTTTCAAGTACTTACCTAGTTAATTTTAGAGTAGCTACAAAATAAAAACTGAAGGTTTCTGTAATCAAAAATACCATACTAAAGTTATAGATGCATTATCTAAATTAAATTCTTCACCAATGAATGATACGATAGATTTATTCATCGTAGGTGTAAATACCCTATACTAATGTCATGAATATTTTTAATAAATAAATCAACTTAACTACTAAAGCTTCTGCAGGGGTCAATATTTTTTGTAGKACACCAGTCTTACTTTTACCGATGTAAAATTAAAAAATTCCTTTTTATATAAAAAATTTTAATGTTGCGTAGGTAACTCTWAAGTGATTACACATAACTTTATCACTATACTACTGTCTACTATATGGTTATTGAATTTAAAGTAAAATAATAATTAATAATAGTTAACAAAAAATCAAGATATAAATTCATAAATTGCTTATATATTAATTTAAAGCATTGTACTATACCGGGTGATTCTTTTATCATTGAACACTCATTATTTCAAAAAGTATCAATGTTTTTGAAAATATTTTTTTACA